TTTCTTGCAGCAACATGATGAACATGTAAAATGAAAGAGTATGTAAGTAGAACAAAGCCTTATAAGCAGGGCCAGATTAAGAGCCCAGTGGGCCTGGTGCTGACAATTATGATAAAGCCTAATTACAGAATCTTATCGGCCAAAAACACTAAAACACTAAAACCTTTCAAGCGTCATGTATCTGATGGAGTTGGTGCTAGAAGAAAACTCAAAGGATGCAGTTATGAGAAAACACATACTCTATGCTAATCTCTTTATCTAATGTATGGTTTCATCTTTCAAGTAAATCCATACCCCCTAACAGCAGTGTCCAGTGAAGCAGGAAGTCAATGGGTAAAAGGGTGGGTCACTGGCGGGAATCACGTGACCAGAACTGCCAAAAGGGGTGAACATGCCCAAAAAGGGAGCATGTCTGTCCAAAGAATTGGAAGGCCAGCCTGGTATCAGTGTCCTTATGTATCACAGTGTCTGTGTCCCCATGTCACCCAGTACCCTAGTCTCACAGTGCCTGTGTGCCCATTTCTCCCAGTGTCCCCATGTCTCAGTGTGTCACTAGGATACTAGGGGACACTGAGAGACATGGGGAAACTGAGAGACCGGGGACCCTGAGACACTTGGGGACACTGGGAGACATGGGGGCACTTGTGGATACAGACATGGGGACACTGGGAGAAATGGAGACACTGAAGACATGGAGACACTGGGAGAAATGGGGTCACAGACACTAGGGACAAAGAGACATGGGAACACAGACGCTGGGAGACTAGGGGAAACTTTGAGACATGGGGACACTGAGACACTAGGGACACTGGCTGGGAGGCATGGAGACACAGACACTTGGCGACACTGGGAGACATGGGGCCACTTGTGGACATAGACATGGGGACACTGGGAGACTGGGGGCACAGACACTGGGAGACATGGGGACACAGACACTGGGAGACATGGGGACCTTAAGACACTAGGGACACTGGCTGGGAGACATAGGGACACTGGGAGACATGGGGACACTGATACACTGGCTGGGAGACATGTGGACACTGGGAGACATGGGGACACAGACATTTGGGGACACTGGGAGACATGGGGACACTGAGAGATATGGGGACACAGACACTGGGAGACTAGTGGACACTGGGAGCCATGTGGACACTGAGACACTAGGGACACTGGCTGGGAGACATGGGGACACTGGGAGACATGGAGACACTGTGTCCCTAGTGTATCTGTGTCTCAATGTGTCTCTGTATGTCTCACAGCATCCCCATGTGTCTCAGCGTTCCCCATGTCTCACAGTGTCCCCTAGTGTCTCAGTGTCCCCATGTTTCCCAGTGTCCCCAAGTCTCCCTGCTGCCTTTTCCCCCAACCTTCACATACCTGAACTGTAGTCTGTCTCTGCAGGCTGGAAGCTGCTGTCTGGAATCTCTGTGCTGTGTAGCTGCTCCCCTGTGGATCAGTGAGTAGAGAGAGGCAGGGTTAGATGCTGTAACTTCCTATCCCTGCCAGTCTCCATACACAGTGACCCCTACTGGCCGGTGCTGGTATTGCAGAGTAATCTCTGTTTATACTGAGAAAAATGTTTGCGTTTGTATTGCCGGGATTACTGCAATACCGTCACTGCCAGGCAGCCTCAAATACTGGCTGTGCCTTAAAATACCAGTCAGGTGGCAAACCTAAGAGTAGTGTGTAAAAAAAAAGCGGACACCTGGATGTTCGGGTCCGACGGGTTCTGCCGAACTTTGAAAAAAAGTCCGGGTTCGGGCTCGAACTTGACTCCGAACCTGAACCCCATTGAAGTCAATGAGGACCCGAACTTTTGGGCACAAAAATGGCTCTAAAAAACTCCTGGAAAGGGCTAAAGGGCTGCAAAAGGAAGTAACATTGGGGTAAGAGTAGGACACGTGCCCTGCAAACAAATGTGGATAGGGAAATCACTTAAAATAACATAAAATAAGCAGCCGCTTAGTAGATACACGCATATCACACACTTTTAATACACCCATTACAAATATCACACACAGCCAACACATAGCATACATATCACACACAGTCATCAAACCTATCACATACACAGACAACAAAAACATTACATCATACATGGATGATGGGGGTAGGGGAGTAGGGGCGCTGTGAAGATTTTTCGCACAGGGCGCCTAAAGGCCTAAGGCTGGCCCTGTATGTAACATCCTATCCCTTCTCTGTATAGGCACTCACAGCACCTACACCTAATTGATACGTCCCGGCAGAACGTGTGTGATCCCAGGACTCAGACATTAATGCTCACCTATGCTCAATAAAGTTGCTCAGGGTGCACAGGGAGAACATTTGATTTAACCTGCTGGTTCGGCGAAGGCACCCTCACAACCATAGAGGTCTGAGCCCAGGCCCTAGGCAACAGCCTACACCACCTTGAGTGTAATTTGACTTTGAATCTCCCCCTCTGTATTTTGGAGATGTACAACTGAGATGTAGGGGGTACAAGACTCTGAGTTACACAGGTACCAGAGAAGACCTGGAGTGGCATGGGGTCTCAGGGAATAAGAGGTAATATTGATGCAAACATAACAGAAAGTGACAAGGTGCTGAACTTCTCAAGAGAACAAAGACATGCAGTGCATTTTCTGTGTCAAGTAGCAGTTTGTTCTTGTCTAGCACTAAGGACAGGGCAGTCCGAGAAGTAGTGTAATTGAACAAACAAACCAGAGATATTGAGAACCAGAACACAGAGGAAGCGTAATGGAGAAAGGTTCTGATTGGGTTTCATGTAGCAATAGCAAATACATGCACTGTCTAGAGCTCACCTGGGGAAGTTACAGGCCTCATTAGGAATGCTGTATTATCTGTATCATTGTTTATATGAGCGTGCATGTGTCATTTCTATTTCCATCATTATCATGTGATACACAACTTTGAACCTCCGTAGTAGCAACTATGACCAAAAACAGTCCCTGGTGTGTCAGGAAAGATGGCCTACAATGCAGAGTCACGATAAGAGTATTTAAAATAAAAAAATTAAGAGAATAGTAAAGTTTGCGAAATACAAAAATGGAAATTCTAGACTACTTATGTTTTACATTAAACCAATGGATCCTGAAAGTAGTCTATGTTCTGCACATGGTATTAGCTTATGGACTCTTTATTCATATGTAAAATTATCTTTACAAAACACTATGAAGAAACACTATAGTTCTTATGGTGACAGGAGTGCCCTGGGGACCACACATTGTAAGTAGTCAAACTATATTTTAAAACTTGGATTCCTCCCTTGGATTTGCTGGGTGCCGATCCCAGTCTCTACTGCAGCTACAGGAAAGCTGGACGCACCTTCATAGGAGCTTAAATTAGCTCTCCTGAGCTAAGCCATGCAGTGCAGGGTTAGCTCATTGGCTGAGAGTGTCAGCTCCTTGCTCTCAGTCAATTACCTAAGCCACTGGGCTTAATGGAGAAGAAGTTGTTTTTTCTCTCCTATAGCTATGCTAGAAATGTGGAGTGGCACATAACAAACACTAGGTAAAACGTCAAACTATTCTTAGTGGTTATAATACTTAGAGTGTTCCTTTAATTTGCTTCTCCCCAATGTCAGAGGGATCTCCATTACACTAGGGTGAGTAATGCTACAACAGTGAACAATTTATCGAGGACAGTAACTTGGGACTGGTGCAATGTGACAGACTGCTCCAACCAGCAGTGAACTAATTAAAATAATTTCAACACAGACCCAAGGGTTATGAAACATTGCATTAAACACAATATAATGACACAACAAACAACAAAGGAGCTTAAAAAAACCTGTACATTGTTTGCATATATTAAAACATGGCTTGGATGAGAACAGTGCATGTTTGTAAATTTAAGTAATTTGTGTTTAGAATATTGGGATGCTTGGGGTAATACGATCTATGTTTAACACTATCCATGCTATTTTATTGAATAAGAAAAAAAAAATTTCATTCAATTTGACACATTTTATTAAGGTTTTGGGGTACAGAAAGGAAAGAGGGGCTTCAGGGGGTGATTGTCAATCAAGTAATCGATGCATTGTTTGTCAAGAAAACATCACGTCAACATGGTAACATAAAAATAACATAAAGATAATGCAGATAATATAGAGATACACTCCCAGTATCTGGTTAGTTCTTCTGGGTCTGTTTTGGGTGTATCTACCATCTGTTCCGTTCTATCAAGAAACTAAAAATGTTTTCTTCTTCAACCAGTCGTGGTTGAGGTTTAACGTCCTGGGTTGACAATTGGGCAGGGTACAGGAAAGAAAAGAGGATGGGGGGTGGGTAGGAAGGGGACGCACATAGTAGTAATCTCGTCAATGATTCTATCAATGGTTTGTTGGCTGCGTACCTTACTACCTTATGTTATCTTAGGGGAGGGGAGAGCTCCCCCCCGCTCCTGGTCTTCCCTCGTTAGTAGCTTTACATGTATAATTATCCCATATGGATTTGGCTTTGATGGTGTTGGGGTTAGAGGCTATGTAGGAGTGAGAATAAGAACATTTTAAACATATATATTAGCGTCTTCTTTTTTTTTTTTTTTTTTACTGAATGTATTAATAGCCCAGGAGATTTAAACTATTTATACTTGCAATTATCATCCTATTAGGATGAACCTATTAGTTGGAAATACGTTAAATAGTTGGATTTAAACCTATAGGTTAAAAATACGTGTAATAGTGTTTGTCAATTTCTTTTTTAATTAGTTGAAAAAAAAGATAGGCGTAAAAGGACTACCTAATATTAAAAGCTATTTACCGTCTAGAGTCAATGTTGGATAGAGATAATATAAACTATTTCAACTATTTAGAGTGCCTCATTGCAGGCTTATAAATATTCTAACAGCTTTCGGAACAGCAATTGATTGAGAACCAGGGAAAAAGCCACCAGAGGCATGTCTAACTCTGCAGCAAAACATTGTATCTTCTAAATGGCAACGTTTTAAATTGCAGGGTACAAACGTAAGGACCAGTGCACCCAGACCACTTAATTGAGATGGTCATTTATTTAAAATGGGAAATAATTGCAGCAGATGTGAATGGGGAAGGGAGGGGATGAGAGGGAGCAAACATGTTAGGGGGCTAATACAGGACTAGTCAGGAGATGCAATCAGTAGAGAAAATAAAGAAAAGATGGTGGAAGAAAGTGATTTCTTACTTATTCATTTTTTTAAAGTAAGAACTACAAGGTATGGAATGTGCTGCCTAGACAGATTGTATTCTGAAATTCAGTAACAGTATTAAAATAGGAATTTGTAATGGTCTTTTTAAGATAATTTTGGCTGTAATATTTTATTTAACACATTTTCAGTCTGATTGTTTGACAGTTTATTAATCTGATTGCCAAATTAAAGTAAAAATGAATATTTCCCTTTTTTTGGCAACACTGGAAATCATTTCCATGATATGTAAAAAGTTAAACATGATGTACCATAGGAAATGAGTCTCAGTCCATGTAATAAAAGTAAATACCAATTCAGTTGTGACCATTCATTCCTCTGATGCGAAACGCATCATGTGACGATTGCAGAAGGTGTACCCGGAACTCCCCATGCGAGTAAAGAACTATGGATGACAGATACAGGAGGAGCAAACTGAAATTCAGTTCAAATTCGGTCGGTTTTGGTTCTTAAATTGTTTGGAGTTGTAAACGTACCACTTAAGTATCAACCCATGAAATAGAAGCGGAGTGATACATTTAAGGGGACACTATAGGCACCCAGACCACTTTAGCTCATTGAAGTGCTTAGGTGCAATGTCCCTGTCCCCCTTTAGTCCTGTAATGCAAAACATTGCAATTTTAGAGACTGCACTAAGGCTGCCTCCAGTGGCTGCCTAGTATACAGACACTAGAGGCACTATCAGGAGTTTACTGCACTCTAGGACCCTTACATGACTCTGGACGTCCTCACTCTCTGCATGTGGAATGTCAGTGAAATCTCCATAATTGATTCAGTGCTTTCCTATGAGGAGGGCCTAATGCATTCTCTGCGCTTAATGTGCATGTGCATTAGGTCCCCCTATTGGATGACATTGGAGATGGCAGAGTGCTGACCTGCCTCCGAGATTGGCGCTTGAATCAGGTGAATCAGCCTTTACGTGCCATCGCAGTGGGGAGGCTGCCGCGAGGGGGAGAGGGAGGGGGACCAGAGTGCACACTAGTGTTAGGATTACAGATTTGTATACCTTACACTATAAATTATCTTTAAGCCTATATAGCCAGAGCTGGTTTGAATTTATAGAGGCGGAGCAAATTTGTTGTTCCAGCACATTTGGAGGCCAAGGCAACACCTTGAACTCTTTGTCATTCTCGTCAAACCATTTTCAAAATTAGTTGCAGGGCTATTGCTTTTGTTATGTTTATTTAATACTATTCATGGAATCATACACAATCCTTTTATTATGGGTTTTTATTGTGCAAGAAGTTTGATGGTACCATTCAGAATCAGTGACATGATGTGTTGTTATTTTTCAAATCTTTTTGATTGGAATAATGTTTTACTTGCTCAACTCAATGAAAATTACCAATAAAAAATGTTTCAAACATACTTAGGTTTTTTTCATAAGGGGTGCATCTAAAACAAGCTTGCAAAAGCTTTAAATTTCTTGTCTTCAGCCTTTGAAAGTCCTCTCCTTCTAACCCTCCCAGACTTTCTGTGGCTGTCCAAACACAGACTTGCCAATGCAATTCAATAAGACGTCTTTGCAAGGCAAGTGCTCTCTGAAATTTTTTGTCTCTTGAGTTTAGCTTAAGTGAGCTAACCAAACCAGAAAGTAACGGACTGAATGTCTGATTGACAGCCAGGGTGATGTAACAAGGTTTATTTATAAAAGTGCCAATTTCTATTGAAATCTGCATTTTTCATAAAATAAAAAAAAGAACACTTTTTTTTTTTTACATATAAAGCACTTCAGCAACAAACCAAAATCTTGGTAAATGAGATTATGAGAACCCATTTTTCTGCATCTTTGGACTAATACACAAAATAGGAACAACTGGATGTTGTAGTACACTCCACTAATTGGCAGCCTTTGTAAATATGAGCAAAGAAGGTTGTGAAAAACTGTCCATATTGTTTAACCTTTTAATCTCAATGTCTAAATCACAAACGTATTCATTTATTTTGTATTTTCCATTTCAATTCCTTCAGCGTCTTAGAAGCAAAATTTATTACAAATTCAAGAAGTGGAATATTTTTTATCCGTGCAGTGGGAATTCTGTAAATTTTTTGCATCATGTTGCAAAGTCAAAATTAGATTGAAAACAAAATGATCCATTATAAATTTTAATAAAACAAGAATTTATTAGTAGCTTGTTATTAATGCGTGTAATGTGAATAATTGGCTGTTTTTGTATTATGTTTACTTTTTGTTAATCAGTATTCTGAAATGAAAATGAACAATTTTAACAAACCCTTTTTGCAGGCATTGTATTATACGTTACATAACTGTATAATGGAATAGTATTTACCAAAAGATCTTTCAACGTTTTAACTACTTAGTTAAAACAGATATTCACAGACATTTATTTGTAATTCGAGGTGTACACATAGTAAAATAAATAGAACAAAACAGAAATGTTTTGTAAGATTGTCACGAATGCTTTAAAAAAACCTAAATGATAAAAATGTAGAAAACTTAGAGGAAAATTCCAATCCAACATTGGTATCAGCTCAATTATATTTTCTGATTTACATTTGAAATTGTGTTTTCTGCACAATTTCCAAAATTTCCCAGCAGTAATGCTGATGAAGTTAGAAAAAGTTATTGGCTTAAAACTGAACTTACCTTCCATCATTATTAAACTTTAGGTCGATATTCTGAAATGATGAGGTTTACCTGTAAGATTATTGCTTACTAAAATAATCAATGTAAATGGAAGTGTCTGTGCACTTTAAAATTTGATCATGATCACAGTATTTCTTAGAGTAAAATGTGTGATGTTTGTGTTCTAGAAAAACAGATGAGTTTGAAATTCAATAGTTTAAATACTGTATTTATAAGGTTCAGTATATGTTGATTTTATTAACCTGTTGTACTACGGTATATAGGGGTTTACTTGTGGTTACATGACAATACATGCATGCTGGATATTTTAGGAACACCACCTGGATTACAGTTGTAGGATGCAAGCATGGGAATATGTGTGGTCCACTAGGCATTTGTTCTGTGAGTATATCCAATTCACACCTTGACACATGGACACTCCACACAAATAAGTACGCTTGCTCCAGCTCTATGTTTTAAAAAGGGTTAACTACAACTTCTCCGTAATAGAAGGAATGTAGTTTTCAATGCACAATTTTAACTTTATTATCTCATCCTAAGCAGAGGGGAGTGGGTTTTGTGAGCTGTAGAAATATGCAATTTTGTCAAACTGCTTAAAATGGTTAAAAGAACACTATAGGGTCAGAAACACAAATATATATTTCTGACCCTACAGTGAGGCAACTGTCTCATTCAAAGTTAAAACTTTTAATTGAGACATTAGTCTCAAAGTGATGCATGTCCCTCTTAAAGGGACACTGTAATCGCTATAACCAGTTCATCTCTTTGAATTGGTTATAGTGTCTGGAGTGGCACTGGCACTGTCCCTTTATTCAGTGTTAAATCATGTTTAAGCAGTCTAAAACTGAACACTGGCCACCCACAGCCCAGCCCCTTATGTAGGTGTGGCTAAGGCAGAGATGACCCACTTCCTTGTATTCACACCCATTCACACCATCAGTTAGAGCTATGATAGGCTCAAAGCAGTCAGCTGATACTCTCAGCCAATCACAGCTGTCCATTGCTGCTCAGGCTAATACTTCCTCATTTGCAAAAGCAGCACAGAGGGGATGGGCTACCGAGGACTCTTGTTTAGCATTATGACATAAATACATTAAAAACTGTTTAATGCTGAATGGAATTATGGAACTTGGGGACTCCAGACACTATAATTAGTTTAATGAGATGAAGCAGACACAGTGCCTACAGTGTCCCTTTAAGCTTGACTGCTAATGGAGCCATTCTCAATGAACTGATAGTGGTTACAGTGTTTTTGAATGTATATGAATGGCGGGATAGTGATCACTTTGTTAATGGCTCGTTTAGTTATCAAAAGGGAGATTCTAATGCTCCTCTTTACTTTTTCATTGTGTTCTTTGAATAAACACTGGGGACTATAATGTATTTGATTATACACATAACTAGTATTGTAATATTTAATACAGGTTTTGAAAAATTAATTAAGTACAGTATGTATTTTGTAATATTCAATGGTGTCGGGGCTGCCCAGGAAAACACTTATCTGGTTCTTGGCTCCGATGTGGAACCCAGTGTTACAGGACATGATGCTAATTGGTGGCATCACGGTGTCAGAATCACACTGGATGCCTAGAACAATGGTTCTCATGGATATCCAAAGCCAGGATAATCACATTTGTTACCAATGAGATGTCTTTAAGTTAGTCCACTTTTATATATCTTGCTCCAAACAGATTACTTTTATGGTTATTATCTTATAACTTATAGATATGTTTTTCAAACAAGCCATTATTAATGACTATTAATTCATACAAAACTATTAAAAGCCATATGTACTAATTCCAAAGAGTAGGGCATTCTTCGACTGGCATTTTATTTGCTTTATTTGTAATGAATCTTCTGGTATATTTGGGAATGCTGATACTGTTTGCTTTTGAATTCTTGTATTTAAAAATCCATCGATTCATTAACAGTACATTCAAGTTTTCAGAGACTGCAAAATAAAACATAGAATCTGGTCCAACAGTCTCTATTCTAAATAAACCCATGTGATTTTTACCATAACTGCTATGAACAGGCCAGTTTAGTTTTAAAATTTGGAAGTTTCGTACTTATGTCCCAAATGACAAGGCCGTTGTTTAAAATTCAACTAGCATAAGGGCTGAATGTTTTATTTTTTTTCTCTTTTAAAAAAAGTGAACAATTACACCCTAAAACTGTCACATAAATAAATGTAGTTGTTCGAAGAAGGGTATTAAAGAACAGAGGACGAGTGTGTCAGGCTGGCTAATGTCACTTCTGTGCATATCCTGTGCACAGACACTCACTCATTGGCTGACAGCACACAGATGACTCTCTCAGCCAATAACTGACAGATTTCACAGCGGAGTTCTACAGAACTCAGCACTGAGGGAAACTCAGCATCGAGGGAAACTCAGCGCTGGACTCTGGTAAAAGAAGTAAACCATTACAAAACTGCTTGTCCCATTGCCAAGGAAATGGTACTCCTATCATCATAACGTTAAAGCCAATCCTCCCTCATACTCGTGATCACAATGATCATGATGAAGGAGACTTGAAATCTATTTATCTCTCACTGTATTATTTAATTGATGAAAGGCTAATTACTATTGGGAAAGTCCGACTTTAAAGGAGGACAGACTTCTCTATTCTTACTGTGAGGGAGGCTTGGAATGTTCGTACATATAGTGTTGCTGGTGGTGTGTCTACATATTGTTTCCCTGCATGTATTTCACTTTCAGAGCAATTATGCTGGGAAATTCTGGTTATGAGGTTGATACTTTGTATCTGCATTTTCTCTTATCTTTCAGCATCTATACTTGCAAAACATATCTAGTAGATGCTACATTATTATTATTATTATTATTATTGCCATTTATATAGCGCCAACGGATTCCGTAGCGCTTTACAATAGTTTGAGAGGGGGGGTGTAACAATAAATAGGACAATTACAAGAAAACTTACAGGAACAATAGGTTGAAGAGGACCCTGCTCAAACGAGCTTACAGACTATAGGAGGTGGGGTGTTTGAAACATTAGGACAATAAATATCAAGTAGGAGTGAAGCAGAGCTGGAGGAGAGAGCAAAGCACTGTCCCACAGGAGAGAGCAGGAGGCAGGTATGTAAGGTAGAGATTACTCTGGGAGGCCATAAGCTTTCCTGAAGAGATGGGTTTTAAGGCCCTTCTTAAATGATTGAAGACTAGGGGAGAGTCTGATGGCAGTAGGCAAGCTATTCCATAGGAGAGGAGCCGCCCGCGAGAAGTCCTGCAAGCGCGAGTTGGCCGTACGGTTGCGAGCAGCGGTCAGGAGGTGGTCACGGGCCACCTCCTGACCGCTTACTGAGACAGTGCTATGCTGAAATACTATTATTTTAACTTCATTTGATTGGTGGAAGTATTTAGTTGTGTTTTTTAGTGATTATTAAAGCAAACCATTTTTGCAGTATGCGCCACTCATAAATTAACTTTATGCTCATTTATACAAAGCAGGCAAATACCTTTCAAAGTCCCTTCAGGGAAAACCAATTAATTGGCACTTATATAAATTGTAGTTGCACATATGTTGTCTATTCAGGTACTTGCAAATATGGGATGAATTATGCAGAAAGCCACTATAATAACAATTAAAAAGATAATTTATGGAACATAAAAAAAAATCATTTTCATTAAACACAGTGTGGTGAGACATTTTGTAGACACCTTTACTTTTACATATTAAAAAAAAAAAATAGAGCACTATTAGCAAATCCGCAAATTTCCTTCTTCTGAAAAGAGATTTTCCAGAACAGAATTTGGCATTTCCACAGATTTTACAAATTGCAACAATTATGTATAAAACCCTGATTTTAGCACAAATATTTGATCAATTATTATTGAGATAATTTCATGATATACATATGACTCTTATGTCTTATTTAATAGTATGATATGACACTCACTCAGTCATCTATCAATATTAAGAGATGCTGAAGGCTCATTGGAATAATTCGATCAATACCCACCCCAGAGTATGGAAAAATAACAATGATGTTTACCGCTTGTTACACGCCGGCACACACAAATGAGATAAGAGCTTGTGTCATTGAAATATGTGGTACGTTAGAAATAGCAATGCAAAAATAGGCGCTCACAATATACTATAGCAGCAGCAGTCAATCCTACAAGGTTTCCCAAAATATTATGAAAAAACAACAATCAAAACAAAGTGGATGTCCCACGCTTAAATAGTACTGTAACCCTTTAAGTGAAAATCACATATAGAACATATATAAATACATATATTGTCATGGTCTTTTAGGTTCATAACAAAATACCAAGTATCTAAAAAAAAAAAGAGAAATAGAACAGTAATGGTGCAGTATGTTTTTAATTTTAAATTAAGTACAATATTGTGATGATTGCACACTCACAGTTTTCTGAGCTACGAAGAGCTCTGCTGTATTGGACATAGACGGCATAATTCCCGTCACGGAATTTATATTCAGCAGTGCTGAATGTGTATTTTCCAAGATATCAAGTATGTAAAAATAAAAGTGTGAAAAATCCTATAGTGCAATATGTATAGTAAAGTGACTGGTCACAAAATAAAAGTAAGTACACTACTCACATGGGATAGAGCATGGACCTGTTATAGTATTGAAGCGTTTTGGTGGAACAATCACAACCAAGGATATATGTAATCAGGAAGCCAAAGTAGTAAAAAGTGCAAGCCAAAATTAATTCAAAATATATTTAATTTACAAAGGAATAACTTTATTACAACCAAAACAAAAAAGTATTTAAAACAACCCAAATAAATGGTAAAACTACGCTTTACGCATTTCAACTTGGGGTTTCATCCGAAGTGTGGTGTGGTAATGCATAGTGCCTGTTTATATAGGTAACATGTTAATACAATTAATGATAACAGGTGTGATTGGAACATTTCCATTGGCTTCCATTAGTACTTCCGGTTTGTAATTATTCCAAGAAGTGATGTCATGAGGGTTAGATACTATATACATAAACTCATTAGTGGTCTTTAAACACCAATAGTACTTAATTGTACTTTCGAACGTCACATGAAATGTGACGCTTCGTAATCGCCATCCATTATGTCAGTCATGTAATGCTGGTCGTGAGCGTCACCCAGAAGTAACGTCTCGCATAGTTCAAGTGTATCCAAAGCTTCTTACCATCCATTCGCGCATAAGCATTAAACACAATCATGGACGCATACGCACACAAGCAGCAAACACATATACCCACATGTACAGTCAACTTTCCAACCAGCTCAGCTGAGGTTAGAGATAAGGAACAGTGATTGGCAGTGACATTAGCAGTCAGCGGTGAAGCGAAGGGTAAGGGAGCTGACAGGAATGATAAACTTATGTCCCAGCATTCACTGCCTGTTAACGAAGAAACACAGAAGGTAGGGGGTTACTAGTTAGTAACTCTCTGCTCCACCTATGTTGCATTAACCTCTAACTGCCCAGCATCCTTTTTTAAATCACTGCACAGCACTAGAAGTTAGCATTGTTGTCTATAGGGAAACCATGCATCAACTCTGATAAGCAACTGCATAACGTAAAAAAGATCAAACATATATAAGATTTACATTAAAAATAAAACAATTATTCTGATACCCCCAAGATGGGCACAAGGCCAATGTTTAAATATACCCCTGCCTCTGTCATTGTTTTGTCTCTGTTTTCTGTCTTTCTTTATAGTTCAAGTGCATATAAGCAGAGTTCACAGATCGTTACAGTGATCAGACAGTCTTTTTAACTTTTCTAAACAAGTTGCATGGTCTGTGACTTTATTTTCCGAATCCCACGTACAGACAGACTATAGGCAAACAAACTTTAAAAAAAGGAATGTATTGTGCACAAGAGTACAGACAAACTTTATAGCATAAGACAGTATAATGTAGCTGGGTTTATTAATGTCCGTAGAGGAACCCAAAGTGTTAACATTGCTCTGTTTATTCAGTCTATTCTTCTATGTTTATTTACCCTACAGGACACATGTAGAAAACCAATTTCTTTTTATCTCCCCGTGGTGCCTAGGAATAAAGATCAGAGATCAGATACATGGTCATTCTTCCTAAGCAAACAATACAACTACAATCTTACAGTGTAAACATTGCAGTAATAGAATCCCATCAGTGTAGGAATCACTAAATATTACAAGTAGCAGATAGCAGTGGGACTGGCAGGTTGGGTAAACCATTGTGTTATCAACTCCAGTACTCAAAGGGACAAAAATCATCCCCACTTATCCACAGGTTAACTGGCAAAATGCCTCAAACTGGTTTTGTGTGTAGATTTTCCATGTCAGTGATATGTAGGATCCTACTAAAATATAGGATGACATTCATATATATTTACCAGTTATAAATAATGAACTTTAATACACAGGATGGGCCAAAATACAAAGTAGGGTTTGAGGCATTAATACAAAAACAAATAAATGATACCACACTCCAAAAAACTAATGCTTAAAATATAAGGAGGTTTTAATTCAAATTATAGATAAAATCAGAGGCAATTAATAGCGCATCACTTCATACACTTGTGAAATAGAAAAACCTGAATTCATATTATGTACAAAATAAAAGGCATAATCCATATATATATATATATATATATATATACACACACACACACACACACACACACACCAGTCAAAAAAAGCAATTCATAATTAGACTAAATGGACAAACAATGTCTTGAATCCTGACCACATCAAAGGTACATACTATAATGTGTATTGAGAGGTATCTCCTACAGTAATATTTATTTATTTATAAAATATTTTACCAGGATGGATACATTGAGATTTCTCTTGTTTTCAAGTATGTCCTGGGTCCACTGTATACTTGAATTGTTTGGTACTATGGGTATAACTCTCTTAGGCAACTCCAAGGCCTTAAAAAAGAAAAAAAGACTGGAAAAAGGAAAAATGAAAAAAGTAGAAAAAATAAGGAAAACATATGAAATACACAAGTTTGCAGCTTAAAAAAAACAGTAAAAACATACAAAAAGAAAGTCACTCTTTAGTAGATTTTCTGAATACTCAAAAAAAATAAAACATTTTTAAAAATGGTTAGATCTCCCCAAAAGATGACGTTCAGGTTCAGGTTCAGATCACCAGGGGGCTGAGCGCTTGGGATCACCATCCCTTCGAAAACCCTGGCGGTGAATAAAAGAGTAGGGCTATTTAAAGCCGATTCACATGGCACCATTCGTGGCAGGGCACGTCCCCTGTATAGCATTCCAACGGGGCATGACGACATGTAATGGAGATCCTTGCCAAATGCATACATGCTTGTCATTACATACCTGTGGTGACGTCATGCGTCTGTATGATAAACTTTATTTACAATAAACAAAACCAAAAAGGACACAATTAAAAGAATATATACACACATAAAACATGATACTCAACACATTGTATAACTCGTTCTGCCGACTTGTGCTACAATGTAATTACAGGACCCACCATTGTGACATGCTAAAGGCACTAAACTGGCTGTCGCTGGAATCCTAATGCACTCTTCATCTTTCCAGCCTTGTGTTTAAGAGCTTTTCTGGGAAACTCCCACCCTAACTGAACAAAATGCTTTCCCCAGCTGTTCCCACTTCCTATAAGCTCCGATCCAGTACCAACACTTTACTTAGTCTATCTCAATACAAAAAGAAAACGGCCTGATCCTCCTTCTCCTACAGAGCACCGCAATTGTGGAACGACCTCCCGCACAAATTTAAAATCATCCCTAAGCCTAAAGTCCTTTAAGAGATCCCTCTCTACATACCTCAAAACAGAATGCACCTGTCATGGTTGATTATATATTTCCTACCTGTTCTATGTTAAATTTTGTATTTATTGTGTATTAATATTGTTGTTGTATTTTATTGTACCCTAATGTAACAATGCAATGATTTGTGGACCCAGGACATACTTTAAAACGAGAGAAATCTCAATGTATCTTTCCTGGTAAAATATTTTATAAATAAATATTTTATAAATAAATAACTTTGCTTTATTTATAACTGATTTAGAATAATTAATACAGGGAGTAGGGATCTCCTATATAGGGAAATGGGGAGCCAGAGGCAATAATGAAGTAAAAAATTATTTTAGCTGGTAATGATTGATACACCAGTGGAGAGGGAAAAAATACTTTATAGAACTTATTGAAAATATGTGAGAAATACTAATATGGAAAAATTAAAAAAAATGAAAAATAGAAAAATACAATAAAAATTGAGGAATCAAAAAAAGTTGATGACAAATAAGGACCTGTTTAAGAAATAAAAAAGATTATTAATAGTGAAAGATAATGAATGAAAAAAATAATAATATAATTTAAAAAAATAAGAAATCTAAAAATTATAAATAAATAATAAAATTGAAAAGGGAAATACAAAAAGAAACAAATAATGTAAAAAATATCGTGAAAAGAAAATCGTAAAAAGGAGAAAAATAAGAAAAAAATAAGGAAAAAAAGAAAAAAAGTGTAGAAAAATATATTGATAATTTGGATCAACATCACAGTGATTCCTTAAAGGAACTAGTACAAGTACTCACCAGCAGTGTTGTGTATGAAATACCTGTGGGAACCCATGTGGGAACCTGTATATAAGGCAGGTATCGGACCAAACCTGGTCAATCTGGTATAAGTAGAAAGAGGAGCAAATATATGGAAAATCAGCCTATAAGGCACTAGATTAGAAGCTGAAGAAAAATTAAAAAAATATTCTTTAATTATACATCCTTGAGTATTAAACAAACAGCATAATAGGCTACAGGAAGAATATTTGTTAAAAAGCAAAAGTGAAGAATCCTATATAGGTTGTCCCTCCAATAATGGGAGACAAACCCAATTCCTTATTCAAGTGTTTCATAGATAGTGTTTAGGGTCATAGTCTTCATTGAGCCCCATAAAATGCAAAGTCTCTAATGTGCTAATCCACTTTGTCTCCTTTTGTAGCAATAGACGCTGTCTATCGCCTCCCCTCCATAAAGGAGGGACGCTGTCTATGACCTGGAAGCGCAACTGGTTGACACTATGACCATGTTGTTTAAAGTGCCTGGGTACTGGTGCTTCACTAGTGCTTCCTGATAATTCTTCTCTAATACCCCATTTATGTTCTCCAATACGCTCCTTTACAGGTCTTATGGTTTCTCCCACATAGATCAAACCACACAGACACTTCAGTAAATATACCACATGATCTGACATACATGTATAGTAGTTGTTGATCTGATATCTTTTACCAGAGTGTGGGTGAACAAAACAATCTCCCTTGATTACACTGTTACAGTGTATACAGTCTAAACAAGGGAATGTCCCTTTCTTTGGTTCAGAAAAAACTTTTGTTGCTTCTTTTTGCTGCCAATATCTGACTTAACTAAGTGATCTTTTAAATTCTTAGCTCTCTGATACGTAAATATGGGAGCATTCTTAAATTCCACGGGTAAATGTTCATTGCCCTCAAATATTTTCCAATGCCTCAATATTATTTTTCGCAGTTCTTTATTTACTGGAATATATGGTGAGATGATGGGAATCCTAGTATTGTTAGTCCTATCTTTAGTATTATAGGAGTACTTGTTCTCTAGTTAAGTTTACTCGCTGATGTTGTTTGTTGACTAATTCCACAGTGTATCCATGTATAATGAACTTATTACACATGTAATCAAATCCAGTTTGGACCTTATCCTCTTGCGACACTATTCTGCGTACATGTAATTGTTGGCTATGTGGAAGACCATCCCTAAGGTGTTGTGCATGATCTATTATATGTCAGTTAATTGTTCCTATCTGTTGGTTTGGTGTACAGGTCACTATGTAATCTATCATCCATTCTTTAGATCTGGGCATCCAAAAGCTGTATAGTGTATCTGTTACAAGTCATAGTAAAAATTATATTGGGGTCTAATTGGTTAAGCTGTTGAAAAAAATTGTCCAATTGTATTTTTGTACATACAAAATATCATCAATAAACCTCTTCCATAATAAACAACAGGAGAATAGAAGCAGTTGGTAAATGCCCATTTCTTCCAAGCAGTTTATAAATATATTAGCATATGTTGGGGCTACATTAGAACCCACTGCCGTACCCTTAATTTGTTTATAAAATTGATCTTCAAAGAGAAAATTGTTTTCAGTCAACACAATTCTCAATATATCCAATATGTACTGCCTAGTGTGTGTGAATTGTGCTATCTCCTGATCTCTGCCTAGTGTCCAGTCCACTGCGTGTATACCACCTTTGTGGTATATAAGGCTTGCACATTCAAGGATACCAACCATAAATCCTAATTTCCCTCAGGGAAAAACCTTCTATTAATCTCAGAAACCCCGTAGTGTACTTGATATATGTTTTTTGAGTGGATATATATTTTATCAAGAACTTATCTAGAATCTCTCTGCTGGAGGTTGCAATATGGATCCTGTCCCGCTCACTATGGGTCTGCCTAGTGGAAATTGAGGATTTTTGTGAGTTTTGGGCAATGTGTAAAAAACATGATTGATACACCAGTGGGGAGGTGATTCGGGGTAGCCGAATATCTCCAATTCATGTATCTATATCCCCCCTCTGTAATAATACCTTCAGTTCTAGCCTTTTCATTAATTTTTTGAAGTGCAATTTTCCAACTGTGGGATGGATCTCTATAATTAGGGAGATAATTAGTAGTCTCGCTAAGCTGAGCCTTAATTTCATTTATATAGTAATCACGGTTCATTATCACCCCCTTCCTGTAAAGTGCTTTGTGATGATAAAGTTGGGACATTGATCATAGTAGATGTTACCTGTGGTTCTCCACCTTCTGCTGGTGAAAAATAAGATTTTAATTTCAACTGTATAAAGAATCTGTACAAAGCAACATTATAATCGTGCCAGAGGGGTTTATGGGCCGGGACAAATGAAAGTCCTTTGTTTAATGTATTTTCTTCTAGGGGAGTTAATGGCCTACCTGATATATTGTGAATTAAGGTCTCTGCCTGGTGGATAGGGGTCTCCCTTTCATTCTTTCCTTTGAGGAATTAATAATGTTTTTATTAATTAACCAGTATTCAGACCGACTACATGTAATGCTTTCAAAACTCAAAAATAAAGAATGTTAAAAAAAAAAAATTGGGAGATATCCACTCAATGGAATCCCTAACTGCAGACCTCCATGGTAGGCAGGAGCAGTGTGCACTGACCTGGCACCCTTGGGCAACATACCTAGCCAACAGATCAGCAAACCCAAGCATGGCTCCCCAGAGGCCCGCAGAAAGCCGACTCATACAGAGCTAAGCTACCCATCTACCCCTATTCCCTGTGTCTCTTACCTCCCGCCCCCTTTCCATGACTGGACACCAGACCGAACCCCGAACGACTGACGCTGACGAGCCCGCATAAGGGGCATATTTATATACACACTCATTGTAAGCACAGGAGCAGAACACACAGGGAATCGAGACCAAATATAATGTTGATACCGGCATGACAACATACCGCCTGACTACCTTGACTGGTATCCAGCGTACCCTTCCATATGCCGAGCCATACCGATAAGCATACAAATATACTCACGGACAACTGCCTACCCACAGTAGAGGAAAACTTTATCTAAAACACCACACTTGGCTCTCACCCAAGTGATCTGATGGCCTGATTGTAAATAATTGCTTGTAGACTTTGGAGGTGTGAAGGCACTAAATGTTTTTTCGCTACTGTAGCTCTATATCATGCTCAACAATATAATTGTCAAGCGATAAAAGGGAACATGATGACTGTAACATAGTACAACCAAAATGCTAACACAAATGCCAGACAACCTTGTCTGACATCCAGTGGGTTCTCGCAAGGGATCAGACATACTTCCTCTCCTCCCATCATTTCACAGTATAAGTACCTGACTACAGGAGTGAAAAAATTTTGTTTGTATACTGACAGTTGAGATGTAATAATGCAAAATGTTCTTCGACATTGTTGTTTTTCAAACGTGAAATGGAAAATAAAGATTGTCAAAAAAAAATAAAATAAAAAATTGGGGAGATACCAAAAAAGCTGACATTTGCTAATGAACTGTAGGCCAAAAAAAAAAAGAGAAGTTAAAACCTAAATAATTCAAATCGATATAGACGAAGACTAATAAACACACTGTTACAAACACCTGCTTATTTTGTCCCAACTATATATAGTACAAAGGTTTTGCATTAAGTCTGGCCATTCTGAGACATTGACAGTAAAACTGATGATAGTCAAGTATAGCGAAAATTAAAAAAACTCATATTTATATTGTAGGTATATCAGAATAAACATTGCAGTACAGCTTCTCCCTACCGAAGTAAGTACAACTGTGTTATTGATATCTAGTATTTATGATTTGTAGAGGTATCTACGCTCTGGTAGGATTATTCATTAAAGTTAAAATACAAAGTGAATTTCAAATGTAAGGTCAAAATAGTCAAAATGGAAAAGTTCTTAAAGTCTGTTGTGCTTTCAGTATGGCTACTCTGGCCCTCAATTTGAAATTCAATTTGAATTGACTTTGAATTCCCTATTTAGTGAAGAACCCTGTGAGACGTGTTTCTGAGAGATCTTTCTTGCAGAATCAAAAAAGCAGAGCTGGGAGACTAGAGAAGAAGGATGAGCTTAGAAGAAACATTTCATGAGAAACATTCAGCTCTGACATTACACAAAGTGGAGCTAAAGTATGGAGATCCAGAACTGGACACCTTATTGGCATCCTCCTGCATAACATTATTGGAATTGTTTACAGACCAGTATTTTTTATATTATATGCGAGCTTTGTGTAATTTAGATGTAAGCCTGTTCAATCATTTAGAATACACTTACTCTCTTACATTTGTACATTGTCATACTTTTTCTCTTTCTTTATAACTCCCAAAGATGAGTCATGGAAGAATTTCCATTCCAAAGCACCATAGCCATCAAGAGTATGGTGGATGATCGGTAAGATATATAAATGTTCATCACTATTATGGTTTTGTTTTGTTTTTCAGCCTGTATGATGGATACACGAGTGGAGATTATTGCAACACCAGAAGCATTCATTTCATGATTTATTTTAATGTGCTTCCTTTGTTTGTTTTTTTTAAATTTATTCTGTAGGAATAAATGCCAAGTAGCAGAAAGTTAGTCCAGTTCCACCAGATGTCCCCAGAGCTTGATACATGTATTACATATGCAATAAATCATATATAGACAGAAAAAGAAACAAAGGATTCATTAGCCTCAAAAATTATTAAATTGCGAGAGTGATCTTTCCCATATGTATAAACTAATTTTTAAAAAATAATTGAAAGCTAAACAAAAAAGCATCTGTTTAGGCAGAAAAATATTTTATGACAATTAAAAAATGTAGTACTGATTCTCCTCTTTCGCTCTCCATTCAAGTTAGTGGTATCCACATAAGTCCATCCTTGCAAGCGCACTGTCTTGGCATCATACTTGATTCTGGCCTCACCTTTGAGCCTTACATCCAGTATGTTGCCAAATCCTGCAGATTCCATCTTACAAACATAGCCCGCATCCACCCCTTTCTTACACAAGATGCTACCAAGGAGCTTGTCCATGCTCTAGTAATTTCCCACCTGGATTATTGTAAGCCTCTCCTAATTGGTCTTCACATAAGCTGTATTGCCCCGCTACAGTCTGTAATGAATGCTGCCGCCAGACTGATTTTCCTCTCTAGTCAGTCCTCTCACACCTCACCCCTCTGTCAGTCCTTACATTGGCTTCCTGTATCCTACAGAAGTCAACTCAAAGTGCTAACCCATAACCAAAGCACTGAACAATTCTAGCCCCTCTTATATCTCTTCACAGATCCATAGGTATGCCCCTTCTCGGTCTCTCTCCTCTGCCCGGGACCTTTTCCTGTCTGCTGCTCGCATCCATACGGCCAACTTACGCTTGTAGGACTTCTCGTGGGTGCCTACCTACCACCATCAGACTCTCCCCTAGACTTGCATCTTTTAGGAAGTGCCTTAAAACCCATCTCTTTAGGAAAGCTTATGGCCTCCCAGAGTAACCTCGACCTTACATACCTGTCTCTTGCGCTCTCCTAAAGGGCAGCACTTTACTCTCTCCTCCAGCTCTGCTTCACTCCCACCTTATTTGATTGCTATTTCCTATCCTTATGTGTTTTATACCCCACCTCCTATAGACTGTAAGCTTGTCTGAGCAGGGTCCTCTTCAACCTATCTTTCCTGTAAGTTTTCTTATAATTGTCCTAATTATAGTTAAACCCACCTCTCATAATATTTTAAAGCGCTATGGAATCTGTTGGCGCCATATAAGTGGCAATAATAATAATAATAGTAATGTGTCTTTTTTTTCCTTTTGCTTATATTATTACAGGTCTATATATGATGCCACAGTATGTTAAATAAAGAGGAAAATATTTTTTGTGAAAACTTTGATTAAATAAAATAAAAATAAAAAACGTAGAATGTAGTGATAATGACAATCACTGCCTTACAGGGAGATGTCCTTTGTACCTAGTAGTGAGGATATAGAAATAAATTAAGCCATTTACACAATTAAAACCCAAAATAATTATTCATAACATGTTTAAAGTGTTGTCAGTGTGGGTTATTAGTTATGCTTATAAAAATATAACTCTCGTTCCCAGGGAGACTATTTCCTTTTGAGGAAACCAGCACAAACTAGTGGAACACATTATGGAACTGTGCCATGACACTACAAGTGACACATAAAACCAAACGTAATATTATAGAAGAAGTGTTTCCAGAAAGAATGTTGAATTGTATGAACTGAAATCTGAATGATAAATTTAAGACCGATATAGTTAAAAGGTTACTCCACGTATCATAACCGTAAATGGTTTAGCAAGTAAGCATTAAAATGAGGTGTAGCCATTTTGTCCCCCACCTATTGGAAGTGGGTGGTGGTCCTAAATAAATGGGGGGGGAGGGGGGGTAGAGCAGGGGTTCTCAAGCCCCTAGTCAACCAACTTAGAAAAGACAATTTTTACCCCTCTCACCACAATAAAAGTGAAGGGAGGGCAAGTAAATGAAAGAAATGTAAAATAAAAATGAATACTTACCATTAGATGTCTTTTTTATTCTTCCATCTTCTTTTCTTGAACCACATAAAAATCCATAAAGATTTAAACCTCACTTACAACAATATGGGGGCAATATTGACCTTCATAGGGTGAGTGAGGTCTTGGGGAGTAACACATTTATACTCCACAAAGCGAAGGACTAGACACCTAAACATGGACTTCAGCACTATAGTGTTAGGGATACATGTATGTATTCCAAGCACAATAGCATTCCTTTAAATCCCAATAAATCATCTAAACCTAGAACTTAGAATAAGGTGGAAGCAGAGGTCAATATAGAAGACTGAGAAAGTGTGTCAGTGGCTGTTCCTGTTTAACAAAGACCTTGCCAGATCCGTTCCTGTGTAATAGAGGCTGGCCAGACCTATCCCTGGGTACCAGAAGCTAATTCTGTCCACCTCTGCCTTGCATTGTTTAATTAAAGCAGAGCTTTAACTTTATAAAGTTCATCTTATGCAGCATCATTGTTTTGGCAAAATAGGAAAATGGGTAATGCTACCAATGCAAAATAGATGCCTATAAAATCTTACGGAGCTTGCTTTAGAAGATCTATGGAAGATCCTGTGGGAAAATTACAACAGCATTTATACATACTATACTGCCTTCGTGGTCATTTCATAGTTATATAGTTTATGTTCCATGAATCTCATAAATAGACAGAGCCATGTCACGTACACCCATTTGTTACATATCACTCAGTCAGCATCCCTACTAATATTTGGAGTATGTAAGAAAAATACCCACATAATATGAAATATTCTATAGATCCAATGGTCTCACGGGATCTTTGATAGATTATGGTTTGCAGTCTTGCACATGACTGAGAGTACATGACCATTGTGGCTCCTGGCAGGTGAAAACCACAGGAGCAGAAGAAAAATGGCAGCACTGAGAAGGGATAGGATCAGATAAGTATAATTCCTTACGTATCCCCACCGCCAAGTGCCTCCATGCAAGCAAACATGTCACCTTGGGTGGACAGTGCCATTTTAAGTATCACTTTTCTGTATTAATTTTGTTTATTGCATTATCCTTTTCAGAGTTTATTTGTTCTTACATTACTGCATGATGTATCATGAATATCATTGAATAGTTAAATAATTTTACCTAATACTCTGTGTTGCCTGTTTTTTTCCCGTACTTATACTTGAGTTGTTTTTTGTTTTTCTTGTTTTTTAGGTTACTATTTATCCAGATAAAGTCACCTTATTTCAGTACCATGCCAACATACAGTGCCCTCACGTATATTGTGCCACCCATAAAGATGTTTTTTATTTTATAAACCTGTGTTGTGTTGCAATTGTTTGATGCCCATGATAGAGGATTTATGTGCATTTTTTGAGCAAAAGGTTAAACAATAAAGACAATTTTTCCAAAACCTTCTTTGCTCATATTTACAAGTGTGACAATATTAGTGGACAGAACTGTAACTACACAAATAAGGGGTTCATGAATGTCTCTACAACCTCAAAATGGACTTATATTCTGTTCACGCATACTTCACAGATATCTATCCTTATAAGTCAGTAGAAACAAATTATATTTTATTCTACTTTAAAAATGAAAGAAATAGCACTTTTGTTCCACAGCAGATGGTGTGTTCCCTGTTATTCCAACTGCTGTGAAATGCAATACATTATAAACGCGAATAAAGCAACCCTGATGTGTATATACACATATTCATAACAGAGGGATGTTATATAACATAATGATTAAAAAAAAAAAGTTATTTTAGCTAGATCACGTATTCCATTATAAAACCGACAAAATAGCTTTTACTGAAGAAATGGCAACATTTACTTTCTAAAAAAACTAAACAATGGAAGCATATCTGTTTTTTTCCAAATTAGCAGTGAGATACATGACCTGTAACAACTAACCTCGACTTATTAATTAATTCAACAACTGTTCAAGTGAAAGTCCCAGAGTCACGTACAGAGGAAGAAGGTGGATGCTTTTTGGTACACAGTTTAAAGGCTGATATGTTCAATTTCCTTTTATAACTAGATATCGGTGTGTGTCCTCTTGCAATAAAGTCAGCTAATGCCATGCAGAGGGTCAATATAAAGTGTACAATTTTGATAAAGCAATCAAGAAATTCAAGGATAATGGAGGAATAATCAATGCACTTTTCAGAACATATAATGAAGAATTATGGTGTGTGACATATGTTTCAGAACTAAAAGGGCAAAATATGCAGAACTGATTACTATTTCAACTAACTCACTCCTTTTGGGATCCTTTCTTTGGAATCCTTACAATGTCATGAATACTGTTAAAAGCAGTATGTATTTAAAGAGGAATGTTCACATATGGTATTAGTGCATAGTATTTTAAGAAACCAAATTTGAAAACTTTTCCGATGTTGAATCGCCAATGGAGTTGGGAACAAAAAAAATTCCGGGACCAAAAATTGTGGTCATATCCATAAAAGGGGTTAATGAGGAATGGATTTCCACTTGTAAAATACGCAGGTGACAGATCTAGATGCAAAGCTAGACACAGAGAGTTGTATTTCTGAAGAGTTATCTATATTAGTCTAGAAAAGGCTTAAACATCCCAGCTTTAGAACCGTTTGACTTCTTATTTGTGGCAAGCGGGGTTCAACTGCCTGCCTCCAAAGATGTTCAGTCATGGGGGCACCAGTGCACCCCTATTACCAGAACGACTACTGCGCACAGTAGTGGTTATGGTGCTTAGAGTGTTCCTTTTAATGGCAAAGAAATATGTGACAGTATACTTTTTAAAAGTAAGAATAGCTTACTATTAAGAATGCCAGAGAAAAAACAATACTCTATCACTCTAAGAGTTAAATTAAATTTAAAAAGAAACCTCTAGGAGAAAATTAAAATAAGAAAGAATTCCGATACATTGTGACAATATCTTTCATACTTGAAATGTTTATGACAAGCAATTTCTATTAACTTTACGCAGAGAGCAGGAAGACACAAACTATTCTGCAGAGAAAAACACGCTCCTAGAACCAAATACATTTGCTTATTTGGAAGGGTTATTTTACCAAAACAAGACTAGATGTTCTTTTCACAACAGGAGGCAAGAAAATTGAATTCCACCTTCTGTAGCCTTGCTTGTCTCCATATGCCATCTGCGTGAGCCCACGTTAAGTTGAGTGGTGTCAAAGATTTGCATGCTGATCCAACATTCCTGAGATGAGACAAAAAGTTATAAATGTTTGTTTCTGCAGGTGAAGTCCTATTTAAATGTAAACGGTGTTTCTGGTATTTTTTTTTCAGTCCGTCTCATAGTTTCTGTGAATGCATTCATTTTAACATACAGTAACAGCTCGGCATTCAAATGTAAGAATGGTGACTCATAAATGAGCACCCTGAGATAAAACAGCACTATCTCTCAATGTGTGGCACCACACTGGGTTTATAAGAAACGCACTAGAAAATGAAATACATATTGTGCTAGAACAATCAGCTGAAAACACACAAACTAAAAAAGATATAATGATTTGAAATGTCCTACTTCTTCGAAGGATGTCTAAAAAACAAACAAACAAAAAAAAAAACATACCATGTTCTAAAGTTTTGGAAAAAATTTTATTTATTTTTTTAAAATTATTTATGGACTGTCTAGAGGCAATATATACTTTTCATGAAGACAAGTATAGCGTTATACAATACAACTGAGCATAGTAGCTGATTGTCTTGTTTAGAGTCAGGGAGCATTACATATGCATTTGAAGTTACATAGAAATTTGTAGACATATATCTATACATTTCACCGCCTCCTAGTAAGAGAAACCCTTGCTGACTGTGTGTTATAACAATAACAATTAACAACAGAACTGGATCTTAATGAACAATGGTTGTTACCACATTTGTCTTTCATCCATGCAGTGAAATGTATGTACCTCTCTCAGTTAATGGGTTATGAGTAAAAGCAGAGTATCACAACACAACACTACTAATTACATACATTATCTTACAGAAGAAACGCTGATGGTTTAGGTGCTGGGATCCTACTAGGAGTAACGTATAGTTGCCGTGATCTTTATTTTTCGACCCAGCTGACAGGCCACTCAGGTGTGCAACCAAATTTAAACAATTACGTAAAAAGAAAAGAAAGAAAAAGATGAGCGATGGAAAGGGAACAGGGAAAAGAGAGGAGTGGTCATCACCGCAGAGCTCAGTGGATCAATTTAGTACTGTCAAGCCATCATTCAGGAAAGCGAGGGACAGTCCCCATCCCCATGGCACCCCCGAGGATTGGTCGGCAAGAATGGGAGTGGTCGATCCGTACAGTTGCAGTAGCTCCGCAATTTAGATCACACACTTCCAATGTCTCTGAGCAGCACCCCCTGCTGGACACCCTCCAGCCAAGGCACCTTTACGGACTATGAGCTGAGACTTCAGTCATCTGCCTGCCCGCAGAGGAGCCACAAAATCCAGGGCGGTAAAATTTTAATTTTCTGATAAAAAAGTATATCTATACCTTAAAATGATCGCGTTAATGGGACACTATAGTCACCTGAACAACTTTAGCTAAATGAAGCCGTTTTGGTGTATAGAACATGCCCCCTGCAGCCTCACTGCTCAATCCTCTGCCATTTAGGAGTTAAATCCCTTTGTTTATGAACCCCAGTCACACCTCCCTGCATGTGACTTGCACAGCCTTCCATAAACACTTCCTGTAAAGAGAGCCCTATTTAGGCTTTCTTTATTGCAAGTTCTGTTTAATTAAGATTTTCTTATCCCCTGCTATGTTAATAGCTTGCTAGACCCTGCAAGAGCCTCCTGTATGTGATTAAAGTTCAATTTAGAGATTGAGATACAATTATTAAAGGTAAATTACATCTGTTTGAAAGTGAAACCAGTTTTTTTTTTCGTGCAGGCTCTGTCAATCATAACCAGGGGAGGTGTGGCTAGGGCTGCATAAACAGAAACAAAGTGATTTAACTCATAAATGGCAGTGAATTGAGCAGTGAAATTGCAGGGGGAATGATCTATACACTAAAACTGCTTTATTTAGCTAAAGTAATTTAGGTGACTGTAGTGTTCCTTTAACAGTATGAAAAAGATGTGTTACAAGCCTGTTTGGGTGAAGTGAATGGCTAGATGTGTATTTGTGTTTAATCATGTATGTGCTTGTGAAGAAAAATGGGATGTCCTCAAAACAGTTTCTTTCAATGCACCACAAGTGCATTTGAATGTTATCAGAATAAATTATGCTTGAAGAGGTTCTGTTGAGGCACACAATTGCCTCCAGAACAGCAGTGACCTCCATTTATGTTTGTTTTCGTTTTTAAAAAAAGTCTGCGGATCTCTTATTAGATCCAGGAAACTGCCCACAATACACTGCTTTCTGTAGCAGCACTACCTTCGTAAGTGCAATGTGACCTCTATGACACTAGAAAAAGTTTAATAAAGATTCTATGTAGAATTCATTCGGTTATACAGTGCATGACAGTTGAAGAATATATCACAGAGGTAATTTCACAATTAATGAAAGGATTTCCAAGCTAACTCCATGTACATAATTTTGGTACACATAAAGAAAGGTTAAGAACCACTGTGCTACAAGAACATTAGGAGCATTTCAGTAAGGTATTCACTGCAACATCTCAGTACAATATGCTCTACTCAGAAAAATTATGAAAAGAGATTTACAGCTTTTATAAGAACAATAGGTACTCAATGTATTTTCTAAAAAAATTCTATTCCAACGGTTTCCAAACTAGAATGTGCCACATGTACCAAAAGTATTTGAACAAAAAATTGGACGTGCTAGTTATCTTTTCAAAGGAAGTGTTTCTAAGTCAATTACACTAAAAGAATATTTGACTTTTTAATGAGATATATTGGACATTATATGTTTGTAATTCACAACGTTTTTGTGCTGTTCTGCTTTATATATAAAATTACAGAGAAAGGCTGCAATATTTTCTTTCAGTCATTGAAAAACTTGTGGAATATTTTGACTTCAAACAATAAAATTGAAGTTTTTATTGTTAGCTTTGTACTGATACATTATATCCTCACTTAATAGTAGCTATAGGGTATCATATTTTGAAAGGATATGAGCTATGCAGCTGAAAGACACAGCCAGAAGTCTGTGTGTAACTTGGCAGATCAATAACGTATTATAACGGCAGACAAAGGGAAACAACTGAATCTTACTGACATTGTGATTCAAAATTCCAACTAGAAAGGTACTGTTCATTCCTAGAAGGACACAGAAGAAACAATGTGACCTTAATTTTAATCTGCTGTCAACCTAGGAGTAAATAATATAAAACCGATATATTTTACATTCCATATCTCACAAAATACAAATGATTGTTAAATAAAGTCATGCCTTAACGTGACAAGAAAAATAACAGGAAGGATATTCTGAAGAGGACCCTGCTCCAACGAGCTTACAGTCTATAGGAGGTGGGGTATGAAACACATTAGGACAGGAAATGGCAATCAAATAAGGTGGGAGTGAAGCAGAGCTGGAGAAGAGAGTAAAATTCTGCCCCTTAGGAGAGAGCAAGAGACAGGTATGTGAGGTAGAGCTTACTCTGGGAGACCATAAGGTTTCCTAAAGAGATGGGTTTTAAGGTACTTCTTGAGAAGATTGAAGACTAGGGGACAGTCTGATGGCGGTAGGCAGGCTATTCCATAGGAAGGAAGCCATCCACGAGAAGTCCTGCAAGTGTCAGTTGGCCGTATGGGTGCGAGCAGAGGACAGGAGAAGGTCATGGGCAGAGCGGAGACACCAAGAAGGGGCATACCTATGGATCTGTGAGGAGATATAAGAGGGCCTAGAATCATTCAGTGCTTTATATGCATGGGTTAGCACTTTGAATTGAATCCTATAGGATACAGGAAGTCAATGTAAGGACTGACAGAAGGGTGAGGGGTGAGGACTGATGTGGATACCACTAACTTGAAGAGAGGGCAAAAGAGGAGGATCAGTAGTAGGAGGAGGATGAAAGACAAGGAGCTCAGTTTTACAGAGATTGAGTTTCACAAAGTGGGAGGACATCTAGTCGGGGATGGAAGAAAGACAAGAAATGACACATTGCAGGAAGGCAGGTGAGAGGTCCGGGGAGAAGAGATAGATCTGGGTGTCATCAGCATACAGGTGGTAGTGGAATACAAATGAGATAATATGTTTGCCAAGAGAGGCAGTATAAAGAGAAAATAGAAGGGGACCAAGGACAGAGCCTTGGGGGACTGCAACTGAGACAGGACAAAGGGAGGAAGTATCATTAGAAAAGGAGAGACTAAATGAGCGTTGGGAGAGATAAGAGGAAAACCACAGTAGGACAGAGTTACAGAGACATAAAGCCAAAAATCCTTGCACCGGCCCTGATGGGATAGGATCAAGCGGACAAGTGGTGGGGCGAGAGTAGTCGGGGAGAAAGTCTGAAGGGTAGGAAAGGCATGACCTACGTGTGGTTGAGAAAGACAGAGGCAAGGTGGGGAGAATTCTTTCCTCGGCTGTTCAATCTTGTCGATAAAGAAGCATGCAAAGCTATCGGCTGTAAGGTTAGTTTGGGTGGTGGCCACAGCAGGGCGAAGAAGAGAGGTAAAGGTATGAATGAATGAGTTATATTCTACCTGAAAATCCTATGGCATATGTGGTTATGTAGCAGGTTCCAGAACAATTTATAAGGACTTTGCAGCTCTTTTACCTGGAGGATATGAAACACATGTTTGACAACATCAATGAAAGATAAACTCTCATGATCGGTAAATACTGTTCCAGACATTTAAGGCCACCATAAACACCAAAAGCTCTTTGATATCTAAACCATATATTCTTCTTCTGACAGCTGATTTGGGAAAAACAACATAGATGAAGTGAAGAACCATGTGAAAAATTTACAACTGCTTCACCAAAGAGCAGAAGAGGATCAGTAGGGTTTGAAAGAGCTCAAAAGATTCTGACACTTGAGGGGTCCATTGCCTTGCGTTTGCCCCTTGCATTAGTCACTGCGGTAATAGAAGAAGTTATAAAAGAGAAATGCTTCAAGAAAATCCTGGTAATTGTGAACGTCAATAAATCATTGTATGGCTTTCAATCCTTGAGGCGGGGGTCAGTCTAGCACGGCTGTCTCTTTGCAGTCAGGTATGTAATAGAGGATGGCAGCTTGTAATTGATCAATTTTTTTCAATTTGCCAGACAGACTAATCTTGCTGAACTTTTATAAAACCATTAGGACATAGGTTAGATGAGTGGTTAGCTATGAAGAAGGTATCAGGACATTGTTATACAGATGATTATATTAACAATTATTTAATAATTATTTTAACACTTCTTTAATGAATTTTAGGAAGACAGCTGACACATTATGCAATCCATAGAATGGTTAAGTATTCATAATGATGTTTGTGGGTGGTATAAGCATGTATTTCATTTATGGCACTCCTTGATTTCTACCAGCTTCTGTGCCCTGAGGTTAACTTTAGTAAAGATAAATGAACCCTTCAGGTTGTTAAAATGTGCCATTATTAATGGAAAAGGGAACGCATTGCCCACAGTTATGTGACTGAGATCTCTATATTAAATACAAATCGGAAGTCCCCTTCGATCTTAACAACGAAAGAAAATATAGGTCAGGTAGCAGAGGATAGGCAATGTATGAAGCCTTTCTAATTAGTGATTAAGAAAAAAAAATAAAAGAACACCCGTAGGTGGCATAGTGTCAGGAAGACGGTCTATGGCACAGTAATTCAGCCTGTGAGAGGGTAATTTATCAGCCTCTTTCTAATAAAAATCCTTCAAATCTACATAGGTAGCTGGAATAGCAGACTATAACAGGAGCAGTGGGGTAAAATGAATAGCAACTACAGGACACGCCTGTGAGACACAGAGTATGACACATTGAATAGTGATGTCCCGAACGGTTCGCTGGCGAATAGTTCCTGGCGAACATAGCGTGTTTGCGTTCGCCACGGATGGCGAACATATGCGATGTTCGGTCCGCCCCCTATTAATTTACTAATACTAAATAAAAATTACTTAGTATTCGTAAATTGTACCCCTACTCGCAATACCGCGAGTAGGGGCATGTCTATTAAACAGTGAGCAGCCTGTGGCTGCTCACTGTTAAAAAAAAAAAAAAAAAGGGTCCCCCCCTGGTGGGGGCCCTAAATACTAATAGGGGGGGGACACCTATTGTCCCCCCGGCCCTCACCCCTGAGAGGTGGGTGGGGGCCCTAAAATGAACAATAAGGGGGGGACCTATTGTCCCCCCCTAGCCCCCACCCCTGAGCGGTGGGTGGGGGCCCTAAAATGAACAATTAGGGGGGGACCTATTGTCCCCCCCGGCACCCACACCTGCGCGGCAGGTGGGGGCCATATTGATAATGAGGGGGGGGACCTACTCCTCCCCCATCCCCCACCCCTGCGCGGCGTGTGGGGGCCATATTGATAACGGGGGGGGGACCTACTGTCCACCCCCCCTCCGGCCCCCACCCCTGGGTGGCGGGTGGGGGCCATAAAGATAATGAGGGGGGACGGGACCTACTGTCCTCCCCTCCGGCCCCCACCCCTGGGCTGCGGGTGGGGGCCCTAAGTAAATTCCCACCCCAAATAAAAAGTCCCTACCTACCCCCCTCACCCTAAAAAATAGTGAGGGGGGAATAAAATAACTAACCTGTAAAATAAAATGAAACTTACCATGCGACGTCTTCTTTTTTCTCAAATCTTCATTTTTCAGCCCCAAAAAAGGCCAAATAAAAACCATCATAACAAAAAAAATCGGCAAAAAAGCCCGACAAAAGAAAAAACCGAGCACAAAAATAATCCCATCTTGCTTCACCCATGGAGGGCTCCGCGCAGACTGAGCTCCGCAGGGCGGGGGAAGGCTTATAAAGCCTTGCCCCGCCCTGCAATTAGGCTAAGAACACTCTGATTGGTAGGTTTAAGCCAATCAGAGTGCTCTTTGTCATTTTACACAGCGTGGGAAAATTCAAAAGAACTTTCCCACGCTGTGTAAAATAACACAGAGCACTGTGATTGGATGGCTTGAAATCCATCCAATCACAGTGCTCTGTGTCATTTTACAGCGTGGG